TCCTATGCAGTAATCAAGATCCTTGATTATGGTTGGTATGGGAATCTCCTTATTTGTTAAGGAAAGGCCAAATTTTGGACCCAGGCTCAAAGGGTTGTTTCAGCTTCATGTGGGAGTGGTACATTTGTGTAGTTGTATAAATAATTCTGTTCTACATTTATATATATTCCATTTTGTGTTTGTCCAAGGGATCTTATCTTCTCTGTGTTAACTTTCTCAATCTTGTTAAACTCCCTGTTATATCTATTGTTATTTTCGTTCAGACAATACAGAAAAACTTTCTCAGGGATACGGTTTTCAACTCAGCTTTGAGAGAATTGATTGATTTCACTGTTGATTTCAATTTCCAGATAGCAATGTCAATTTCTAAATTAGGGAGAGCCTTCTTAAACTTCAATGCGACCTTGTTTGTCCTTTTTTAAAATGGGTGGTTGTCAGATTATGCAGGGTATAAGCATTTAATGCTTCCACTCAAATGTTTTGTAAGGATGATTTTTATCTACATTTTTATAGGAAAATTCTTCTATTCTTAAGATTTGCCAATCTAATAACGTCCTTCGACCATGTTTTCACAAGTCTAGGATAAACTTGAATACCACCAAAAAACACTAGAAATGCTGAGTGACACGAACATCTACCACACATTAATCAAGACCCAACCAACAATTCAATTCAATTCAATTCAAAATAGTTTATTTCGAGATTCAAAATTCAAAAAAATTCACAATAGACTTACGACTAAACTCTAAGAAATAAACAAAGACACTGAAGCAAAGGAATTTCGCTTGTTAGTATTTCGTTAGTAACAAATACCAAACAATGGCCAACAGAATTAAGAACCAACAATTTTATAACAAGTAGAGGATAAAGGAGTCTAAAACGCCACAACTCATTCGCGCCTAAGTTATAATGTTTAAGGAAAACACACAAAACTGGACTACACCTTAGACCAGTCGTGAGCTGCATGAACTCTCCAGGATATAATCTAGCTAAGTTTCTACATAACATCCTCAACCCTCCAGTGTTGCCAGAGTTTTTCGACGACATTCCTTCAACTGATTGGCTAAAACCCTTCATATCCTTCAAAACAGTGAAACAGTGGCGTGTGGCCAGCACAGCAAAATAATTTACCAGAAAAAAAAAACACTAACATTCAATACACACTACTAAGGATTGCTTTTCGGCCTCGTTTTTGGTAATCGCCGCCATATGCCCATATTGGTTTGTCACCATTTCCATTGTCATAACTAAGTCGTCAGTTGTTTGCACTAGCGGTCGTAATTTAGAATTTAAATTTATGATGGAAAATGTTCAATTTTGATTAACATAATAGGCAAAGAGGACGATGAAAACGAAATTTAAAAAAGAATTGTTTTAGAATGTTAATTAATATAGTAAAACCAAGTATTTATAAAGCAAAAGCCCGCGGAATCATAACCTGTAGTGCAAACAGCCTACGTCAAGGCGAGAAAGGACATGCTGCCTACGTAACAACCGGTGATTTGGTGTGGTGGGAGGCTTCAGATTTGTTCCACACAGGCCTTATGAGGATAGGCTATGCTAGTAGTGTGTTTTTTTATTACAGCACACTAACTGACGCAGTGGTGTAGCGAAAATTGGCGTTTCGTATTTTTTCTCATGCAACTAATTAATTCTTTTAATAAAAATTAAATTTGTTGGTAAAATGATTGGAATATTTACTAAATATACAATTTGCCTCAAAATCCTTCAAATTTGAATAAAAACCTTCAATCCTTCAGTAGTTAAAATTTTACACCACAACTCTTCATATTGAAGGAAATCCTTCAATTCTGGCAACACTGCAACCCTCTAACTTCTACGTTTTATTTTAATATTAAGGACTTTTTTCAGTTCGCGGAATAAGTAAACAACACACCATCTCAGATAGGCATGTTCTGGTCTCATTAGACGTTGTGAGCCTGTTTACTAATATACCAAAGCAATTAGTCTTAAATATAGTAAGGGACAATTTTAAATTAATTTCCAACTATACAGTTATTTTTAGAGACAGCTTGACTGACTTGATTACTTACTGTTGTGACACCAGTTATTTCTCTTTTGAACAAAATATCTATCTACAAAAGGATGGATCCTCAATGGGCAATCTAGCCTCACCAATATTAGTTAACTTGGTAATGAACCACCTTATAACAGAAGTTTTAAAAAAACTACCATTCTCCATTCCCTTTATATATGTATATGTGGATGATACAATAATATCATTACCCAAGAATGAACTGTGACACTAGATCCTACTTTCAATAAGTTTCACCAATCACTCCAGTTCACCAGGAGATAGAGACAGATAATAAGCTATGCTTCCTGGACATGGAAATCCACCACAAACCTAATGGTACCTTGCTGACAAATTGGTATTCGAAACTCATCAGTTCAGGTAGAATTCTCAATTACCTAGCCAACCACCCAACATCCAATAAAGTGGGCCTAATAAGTTGGCATCAATATAGAGCTCTTTATTTGAGTGACCCTGAATTACACACGACAAAAATAAAGAAAATCCTATCAAATAATAATTATCCATTAAACTTCATTAACAGAAGCATAGAAAGATTTAAAAACAAAACCTATAACCCTATGAAAAAAGAAACCAAATATTTTAAATTCCCCTTCATAGATGGCCTTTCGCGAAAAAATTGGAAAGTGCTTTCAGGAATCTGAGGTTTCAATACAACCTTTTACCACCTCAAAACTACATATTCTCTGATCCGGAAACACAAACATATAAGCGTAAACTGAGTGAAATGATCCACATAAATCTAAATGACACAGTGAATATTAATACTGATACAGATGGTCTGAGTGGTGTATATAGCAGTATATCCTTCAAATTTACAAAAGAAAGATGAACTAAATATAATCATGCATGTGTGGATACGTGACTGTGAAACTATCTAGCTAGGGGTTGTTAATATATCATGTTTTTTGACAGTTTCCATACACAATCGATTGAGATTTGGACTGTTTGGAGGCCTATTGGGTTCAATGAAATCGGGACATTTTTCTTGCAGAAATTTGAAATAGAGTGATACCTATTTCAATTTGCCCCAGAGTTTGGTTTTCGCATGTGTAGTTTAGCTATCGAAAAAACGTATCAGCAAAAATTTAATTATTTTGGAACGACATAAACTGCAGCTTCTCAGAAAAAGTCCATTCCTGTCTGAAACTTTTTGATAAAGACTTGACAGTCTCACAAGAACTTAGCAGCCTACTAACCCTCAAACAATAAATCAAATCGGTGCGATACATAAAAAAATATTAGCGATGAAAAATTGTGGCATTTCAAATTGGCCCATTAGATTAGAGATAAAGACAAAGTTACTTCGTATATGAATTAAAGACATAAAATAAAAATGGGGAGAGACAACCATATGGGAAATTAACAGTAGACTACCTAAAAAACTAAGTCTGGGTTTCAAAAATCCGTTTTGCCAGTTCTCGCCTTTACGATGCCAGGACCATCATTTCCCCCAGAAGTTATGACTTGTTCCTTGGCTTGGCGGTTAGGTATATCCTTGAGAAACTAAGTCTCAAATTATTTGGTGCCGATTTTGTTTCTTTCACCATATTTTGTCTTCCCTTTCCTGTTTTTGTTTCTGTCGTTTCTTTTCTTCTTTCAGTCCTCGGTCTTCTTGGTCTTGCACCAGAGCATGGTTATCACCGTAGACGAATATTTCTTCGTCCATTTATCTCACTTTTGATTCTGATACCAATGAGCGGCTTCGTAGATAAATGAGCAGACTAAACTTTTCCAATTTTCAATAAATTCTATTTGAGATAATAAAACAACTGTCTAATTCAAAATTAACTCGTTTAACTTTCAACTGCTTCTACGATAATTCGTCTGCTAGATTATTCCTTCAAGACCAAACAATACGTACGAAATACGGTATGAATGATATCTCAATAACAAGAACCTAATATTATATTGAAGAAGTAGTCCATATCTCAAAGTGGAGTTGAAACTTAATTCAAAAGAAAAGCTCAAAGTCTTCCTCCACAAACACTTTACTCGTTCTAAAAAAAATGGTCCTACATGTTTCGGGATTAGTAAGTCCCATCATCAGGAGCAATGAGCAATAAATAAGCTCATATATTAACAGGGTTGGATATCATAGCCTGCCAGATCATGCATTTTGTAGAGGAAAAAAAAAGTCAAAAATAAGTTAAAAATTACTGTCACATTAATTAAAAAAAGTCACAGTAATTTTTAACTTATTTTTGACCTTTTTTTCCTTTACGAAATGCATAATCTGGCAGCCTATGATATCCAACCCTGTTAATATAATATGAGCTTATTTATTACCCCTACTGATGGAATTTACTAATTCCGAAACATCTAGGGCCGTTTTCTAAAACGACTAAAGTATCTGTTGAGGAAAATGAGGTTTTCTTTTGAATTATTATTATATTCCAGACTTCATACAGCCCACCTTGAAGAAGTTATAACTAAAAAAACAAATCGGTTAAAAAATAACAAAGTTGGCTTACCTAATTGACGGAACAAATCGAGACATGAACCACCTTCTACGTAAAATGTCGTTGGTTTTTGTTTGATTTATTACTTGTTCGTGCTAAACATGTTCGCCAATAATTAATTTTTTGCCACGTTCGCTATCCAGGAACCCATAAAACTGCACCGTACGACCGACTTTTTCGCTTATCAACCCAGCCGACTTTCCGAGAACATCTACGTCTCTCACGTCTCGCGACACTCTTTGGGCGTTATCGTCGGTCGGTGGGCTCATAAATCTGCTCGAGCCTTATGTCATGCGAGTGTGACTAAGACAAAATATGGAATTTAAACCGTTCGGTATTTATAAGTCATTCAACCATTTATGAAACGGATAAATTGGCCTGTTGCACAGTTGACACTTTTCGAATGATTTATGACGCGATGATAATGATGATTTTTTTTTTGATGTTTAACAGATGAATATTTTATTTTTCTCAATTTGCAGGCTAAACGGGCCAGGACTGATACATCTGATTCGTCTGAGAGAGATCGGTAAGTCTTAATCAACTTTTTAATCTGAAACATTACTAAGCCCCAAAAGATATATCAATCATCACTAACATTATTTAACTTCCAAAAGACATTTCTACAGAAAAATATGAATTACCTAGGTAGTTTAAAAGGGACGATCCCACATGATTTAAACGTCCTGTATGGTTTTACAATATCCTCAACCACTTTTTGGCAGATCATATTATAGGAATTTCAACATTTGTTTTAATGTATAGATCGAAAACTACTAAATACAGGGGGTGTATCAGGGTTGACTATAAATACCTATTTTAACATGTGATTATGTGGCCCATTTAAAACCAAAACTATCCTATTACCCATGGGTCACTTCTTAGTATTTTCAGAGTTATCGCCGAATTTAAATTTAGAACTATGTTAGCAATCTGACAACATTGTTGTACAGATATTTATTATCCTAGGTGCCGGTATTCTATATCTTCCGTCTTGTAACAAAATGGCGTATCTCAATTCAGAATATACCCGATATAACATGACATTGCATCCAGGACTTGTTACCTACTGTTTTGCATGGAATGAGTTTGATTTTTTACGCCTAACCATGGGCAGAGTGAAGAAGACTTTGCACAAATATATACTTTACAAAAAAATGGATAGAAGGGTCACGCATAATCTATGTATAAACAAGTCGTCACAGTTAAAATCACTGAGACGTTCATGACGACTTCAGTGTTGGAAAGATACTATCCTTGCAATTTTATTGTTTTGTTTGTTTTGCGAGTACAAACCTATAAAGAGTCGACTATTTGATTTTATGGCCAAATGGTGACTTAGCCTTGGACTCAATACTATGTCCTAAAACGAAAAACATAAATTTTAAATTTTAAATCTTATATGTTAGATTTTTACTTTTTGTTCTTGACATTCTTACTATACCTAGGTTTTTTATGTTATATTTAAGATGACGTCATCGAACAAAGACATACATTGTTGTCAATTATTCTGACGACAGCTGAAAATAACGAAAGGAAAATGTTTATACAAGTCATTCAACGTCGCGCGCCGTTGCCAACCAAAAACATCTGAAATTGTACAGTTTTGTTAGGTTTGCAGCAGAAATTTACTAAATGTGACGTCATCCTAAATAGCGTAAAAAATCATAACTGTTTAATATTTCTATTTCTCATCTCCACTTGTATTTGGGTTTCTTCTCTATATTTATTTTACTCTCACGCAGACTTCCTAATTAGGTTTTTTTAATAATTTCTCCATCTCCTGTTTGATAAAAATTCGTACTTTTAGGTTTGTGCCTCGATTACTACTACATCTCTGTTCATTATTAGGTAAATATCTTTATTTACAATCATACATGTAATGTTGACTTTACTGACTTTTAAAAAGTTCGAAAATGTCACTTTTTTGACTTTTACTTTCGGCCCACGGGTTACCGAGGTTTGTATACTATTTTATTTACAACAATTACAACCCTCATAATTTCGACTAAATAATAAAAAAAAAATTAAAAATTTGTTGACAAGTTCTGACTCATTTAAAAAAACGTTTGACATGCAGGACTCGTCTTAAACATTTTAGAAAATGAGAACTTACTTTCCACCCGGGTAGAAAGTGAGCACTTTCCACCCGGGACCACTTTCCACCCGGGTGGAAAGTAAAATTCAAAAAAGTGTCACTTTCAAACTTTTGAAAAGTCAGAAATGTCAACATTACGTATGTGGTTGTAAATAATAGTATATTTTAATTCCATATTCTATTAGGCTTTTCTTTATTTAGAGGACTTATCCTGATCGAATAAAATAGCTCTTTACTTTGAATCAAATTTGCCTTTAGTTGGGGAAGTCTGTAGTAATGGCAAATATTTGTATCCAATTCAATGTATTTTATTCGAATTTTACCCTAAACTGGTGGACATTTTCTGAAATTTTACTCCGAGCGGCATTTCGTGCGACATTCGGCAACTTGACGTTTCTAGGGTATTTCGACCCCGCTGAATCCGAATCCGGATGTTGCCAAGCCGAATTTTGCCTCCAGAGGCCTCAATCCAAGATGGCGGCCAAACTAAGGGCCTAAATGACATTTTTCTTAAAGTGTATCGTTATTGACCGGCGAGATGTCGTTTCATATGTTTTCGGGGTCGCTGAACATGAATATGAGTACCGGAGGTTGATTCGGATACCGGAAGTACCATCATTCAAGATGGCGGCCGTCGGGGCCCTATACAGAACGTTCAGAAGTTGGCATATTGTCAAGTGCGGCGTATCGGCACATATGTTTTTGACATCGACTAGATCAAAAATTAGCACCAGAAATCGATTAGGAAACCGGAAGTACCGTAATCCAAGATGGCGACCGGTTGGGACCCAAATACCAAACTTTAAAAAGTTGCTATGATATGACGTGACCACAAGTGTTTTCGAGGTCGCTGAACACGAATTTGAGGTCGGAAAAGCGATAGGAAACATGTTAACACAGGTTTGCCGAAATAAAATAGTACAAATATCCTTTGATGGGTGAACATAGTTATCACAATCACATTGAGGGTCGCGCATTCTGTTGAAGATGAGAAATGATGAAGAATGTTTGCTATGGTACTGCTAAGGACAGATAGTACGTACCTATTTATACAGTTGCAGCATCAATGTCTCTTAGTGAACGAACCAATATCCTTATATTACATGCGCAGACCGGTTGTGACACTAACTCATTCATAGTAGGTCGGTATCCAGTTCACTTTTTTTACGTATATTTTTGCTGCATTAGACACTTATTTACAGTGCGCACTGAGGGTATTTGCATCCTTTTAATCAACCTGTAGAAGAAAAAGACAGAAATAGAAAAAAATGCACTAGTTCCGCACTAGATCTACCAATCGGAAACGCCATAAAATTCATATTACAGGTACAGAAAGGAGAGGTGCTCTAGTTGTATATCGTACACATTCCAAGCTTCTTGATGGACTCGCAGTTGCAGAAGTTCAGGAGAGATTTTGGTCAGAATGCGAGCAGTTCATGGTACTTTTGTACAAGAGAAGAGAAGATACCTGTGATGAAGCAAGACACATTCTTTCTGGAAAAGTTTGAAGTCCTGAATTGCTCCCAGCTACGTCTGATGCCGCCCGTCTTCACATTCTCCGAGCCACCTACCAAACCAGGGTCTGGCTGAATGCACATTAGCAAGGTCAGACCTTCCAGATCCTTGCCGGTACGGATGGCGTCTGCAGCGCCGGTTCAAGGCTCTACCGGCCCCTAGGCGGCAGAAGATATGGGGCCTTAGCCCAAAGTGACTTTTTACTGTTTTTGTCCAAATTGAAAAAAAAAAGCCTTCCAAAATGCTGCTGGAAAGTGTTTTGGAACGTTCTGAATGGCTTTTTGCAGTTCTAAAGTGTTCTAACTTGGCTTGAAGAGTTCTGGAGCATTCTAGAAGTTTTTCAGTAATTTCTAAATTGTTCTGACAGATTTTTAAGCATTTTAGAGCCCTATTGAAGCTCCAAAAATTTCTAAATTGGTTCAAAATAGTTCTAAAAGATTTCCAGTTCTAAATTAGGATTAAATTTAGAACTTTAAAATTGTTCTAAAATAACTCTGAAGTTGCTCAATTGCTCCAAAATGCTCCTGAAAATTCTGATTTAGATTTGAACTGTTTTAAATCAAAATTTGCTCTAAAAATCCTTCTGAAAGGCGTTTTGTAATTTTTAATCTGAATCCTAAGATTCTGGCGCTTTTCAAAATGTTTCTGGGGATTCCAGAGTGTCTGAGTATGAGTGTTTTGGAGCGTCCTAAAATGGGTTTCAACCTTCGAAGTTGTTCTAAAATGCTTTTGGAAATCGGTGTTTGAATGTTTTGGGGCATTCTAAAATGGTTCTGAAATTTCCAAATTTTCTGAAGCGCTACAGAATGCTTTTGGAAATTCTGAATTCAATTTTAAATGTTTTGAACTTTCCAAAAGGTCTATTAAAGTTCTAAAGTGTTCTGTAGCATTTTAAATGGTTTCCAGTAACTTCTAAATTAAATGAGAAACGAATTCTGTGGAAAATTTTTCCCAAAGACGTCCCTAAGACGTCCATAAACGACATTCAAGACGTCTTGAAGACGTCGGTCTTCAGACGTAATACTAGGGTTGCCAGATTTTCAAAATTGAAAAGCGGGAGGTAGTGAATGGGTCGAAAGGGAAAAAAAAATTGTTGAGGTGCCACGCCCTAATTTTGTCACATTTTATCACATACTATACAGAGTGTACGAAAAGTAACGGGACGGTCCATTATCTCTGAAACCAGTGGCTAGTGGTGCAATTTGAACAAAATCTTACGAATTCAAAAATTGTATCGACGTTGTTGCCAGACTTAACAATAATAAACTGCTGGACAGCTGCTTTCGAGCAAGAACATTTTTTCATCTAACTTTCAAGCTCATAATTTTTGGGATCATACCAGATATCGCCCTCCGGTATTCACGGGCTGACAGATTGACTTTTTGTGAAAAAAATTGCTACACGAAAACCAGACGTCAATATTTTGGTTCCAAACATATCGAGCTTGAAAGTTAGGCGAAATTTTCCTTTTGCACGAAAGTAATTGTCCAGTAAATTTTGTTATTACCAGAGGAACTGGACTAGACAACTTATACTTGGACCAAGTAAATTGGCAGCCAGCCTACTTACTTGGATGTTAGGACCTATCCTGGACTTGGATAAACAGTTAATACAATCCAAGTATCGTCCAAGTGAGGCGTGCGCAGCGTCCAAGACTCCTAATATACTTGGACCGTGTCAACCGAACCTAGCTTAAATAAAGTGGAGCTTGGCAGAGAATTTTTGGAACTCAAACTCCCCTTATAATCTACAGTCAGCGTCACAATCAAATACATTCAGTTCAGATTAGATGCCCAAACTCTCAGGCTTGAGTAAATCTATCTTCGTTTGGTTTTGATGGAGATAAAGAAAGCTCCCCATTTGCGTTGGGTTGCCAGATTTATAATGAAGTATTAAAATTATGGTAGTAGATAGTC